CTTTGACGGGAAATATCTGGTTTGACCGGGTACGGGTACGGGTATGTACTTACCCGCCCCGTACCCTTACCCGTACCCGTCCCCGTTTCCATTTTTAATTTAATACTCACTTTTAATTTAATTATATTAAAAAAAATTTAATATTTTTTATGTGTGATTATTTATTATAATATGAGATAGAAAAATAATTTAATTATAATTAATATAATAAAAAAATAATTTAAAAATATTATTTTTTTTACAAAAAATAAAAAATAAAAAAATTGACAGGTACGGGTACGGGTACGGGTATACCCGATACCCGACAGGGACGGGGATGGGGATGAAAACCATATACCCGGCGAGTACGGGGACGGGAACGAGGATGAATTTGACTCGCAAGGACGGGGACGGGTATCATAAAACCCGTACCCGCCCCGTTGCCACAATGACACATGTTATACCATTACAATTAGATGTAGACAAGGTTCAGGCGTAGATAAAGAGGAGTATAATTGATGGAAGGAAAGTGAAGCTTTGAAAGAACAAAAAATCATTAAAATACATATGAACCAATCATGTAACAACGGCATGAAAAAACCTCTTGACATAAATAAAAGAACAAAAAAATTAATTCCACGACAAATTAAATTTCGAGATATTGGTTTCAACTTGTTTTGGGCTTTTTAAGTGAACCAATTAAAACATGATGGGCTGAATTGGGCTTTCTTATCAAAATATTATGACATGTTAATTTCCTCACAAGTATTGTATGAATCCCAATCCCATGCCCATTTTGACATTTTTCCTCTTTCCATCCTCCTTTTCCTAACTACTAAAAAAAATTATAACGAAGAAATATATAATAGTTTAATTACAACAACAATAAAGCATTAACAATATAGAATGCAAACATAAAAAGGTAAATGATAAAATATCCACAAAAAGTTTATGAAAAAAAGTTAATGAATAGTTGAATACATCTCATGACATCATCAACTCTCATTATTTTATTAAAAATCATCATTATTTCTAGAGTTAAATAGTTATGCTCAAACTAGTTGACTTTAATTTATGTTATGTTATTGTTGGATTCCATCACCACTAGCTCTAATAGATCCACTTCCACGCAATTGAATTGCAAAAGAAGCAAAGGTACATACATGAATAGCACTCAAGAAAATAAAAGGTACATACTTGAGTCACTAAAAAGATAATTAGAGTAAAAAGACCACTAACAACATAAAATAGTTTTACACTCTCATTTCATCATAAATTAGTTAACTTTTATAATATTTTAAAAGTTATACGAATGACAGTGTGAAGTTTTTATACTGATAATGCATAACTGTTAATTAATACTTGATATACTTTATATTTAAAAAGAATACAAATATGTTTTGAGTGGTGTTACCATGATATGGTTACATAATAGCACAAGCGTGAGGATTGTCATCACTAAAGGTAGCACCAGTTTGGTGGCCAAAGATGGAGGATTGTGAGGGGTAGTTATAAAAGCGAGGATCACTGCTATCATAACCATGCTTGTAATAGTTATAAGATGAAGAAGGTTGTGAAGCATGAAAGTTGATAGGACCATTGCAATGGTGCTGTTGAAAATATTGGTTCTGAGACTCTGTTGTGTAAGGAAGTTGCCAAAGCTCAGCCCTGCGCCCAGTTTTTCGAACCGTTTTCAGAACCTTCTTCTGGTCAGCATAGCCATTCACAGTCACTTTTTGCAAGGTCATGTCTATTTCAATGCCATCCACCCCTTAACATAAAAAACACACAATAAAGGGTAAAAAAGTTACTAAGTTATAAAGATCCATGAATTGAGTCATTAATCCATTGGTCTAGAAATTGTGTGAATGACATTCACATTGTGACAATTTTTTTTGCACCACTAGCTAAATTTTTTATTGTAACATGCAAAATATGTTTTTATATGTATGGTATACCTTTAAGTTTTTGTAGTGCACTTTTCACTTTGTTTTCACATCCGGGGCAATCCATATGTACTCTCATCTCTATGATCTGAAAGAAACACAGATTTGAATAATCATGTATATATAATAATCCTTATAAGGTTGTACCCGAGGAAAGGGTAAAGAAAGTGATGATAGCTTACCGTCATGTTGAGATAGAATTTCTTGGATGATATATTGATGTATCTCTTTGTGAAAGTTTAGGAATTGAAATTCAATAATATTGAGTTTGCCTCTAGCTAGAAAAGTGTATGTATATATACAGGAGAGATAATTCTATGGCATGGTGCCTCATATTTGCTCGTCCTGGGATGGTTCATTTTTTTAATTGTTGTATCAAATAAAATATAATTTGTGTGCAAGCCTAAGCCTTGTTGCACCGACCTTCATAATTTGTTATTAGTTTTGATTTGGAGATTTGAGATTAGAAGTTGAAGCAAAGGGTAAATGTTGCTTAATTCATGGAGCAGCAACCGCAATATCACATGCATCATAATGCCGTTGAAATTATATATGCAAATGATTTCAAGTCTAATTCAATTTGGTGTTTGACTTTCTGGTTTGTATAGCTAGCCTGTCTCCCTTTCCCTTATTAACATGAAGACAATTCGTAGTGATGAGGTTTTTTAGTTTTTCTTTTTTCCGGGCAAGCCAGTATAATTATTTCTTTTATATGATATGTATTCAACCATTAATTTTTAAATATGAGAATCACGAGTGACTTTATTTTGGAGGCGGGGGGTTGAGGGAATTGAATTCAAGTCTTTAGTACGAGTGAAAAAGTCAACTAGATAAGCCAAACACCGTTGATTCATGAGTATCTAGTTAGTATAACATGGATGTTACATTACATTTCATCATAAAACGTATTTGTTGGGATGCAAGCAAAGTTCTACATCGTTCAAACAAGAGGATGGACATGAGTTTATATATACACAATTGTCTCCATTGGTAGAAATGTCTTTTGGGTAATATCCAAAAGCAAAATCGTGAGGATTAGGCCCAAAGTGGACAATATCTTACTAATGTGAAGACATGTGTGTGTGTGGTAACCCCCGGTGCACAACAGTTTCATTATATTAGCTGATTAATGTCATATACTCCAAAACCATGTCAAAGCAAGGGACAGTTTCAAACAAACCCCACTTACAAAACGAACTATAGTCCAAAACCATGTCAAAGAAAATGGAAGAGATCAAGAGGAAGAAAGGAGTCCACTAATTAAAGAACTTGACCAAAACCTTGTTTTATTGTATAACAAGAATAACAGCAACAGAGTAACAGATTATTATTATTTTTGGATAACTACAGTAACAGTTATTTGATATTGGTGCAGATCCCTAGTAGACATAATAAGTTATATTACTTATATATCCCTGCCACAACATCCACCATATATGGAAAACAGCCTGCTATGGCAGCTTAACCGGTATTTTGCATGCCAGCAGCAATACCCTTCATTGTCAAAATAAGGGTGTCCTCAAGACCAGGAGCATACTCGCTTTTGGGGTTAAGTTTAACAAGTTCTGCTGCTGGCTTGCTTGATTCCATGCAGTCCTTTGACAAGTGTGGCCTCAACTTCACATGGTAATCAGGATCACGAATTCTCTTCAGTGTGTAGGCTTGCAACACGTTCAGGGTTGTGATGTATGAGTCACGAAGACGAAGTCTTTGCTTTAAGTAGGGGTCTCCTTCAAGAAGATCCTTGTGCGCAGCAACCTATAAACAAGATTATTAGGCCTGAACTAGGTAGGGAATAAAATGAAGCATAAATATGAAAACAAGTGACTCTCATTAGATAAACTTATTTATAAGCACTCGTAGATAAGAAATTAAGAAGGTATAGTATTTTGACCTTTTTCATAAGCTTGAATCAACTTATGTACCTTTTGCTTTTGGAGAAGTGAAATGAAAAGAGCTTCTATAAAAGTTAAGTGTATAAGTTAATTTTAGTTTATAAAGGAAACTATTCATTTTACCTATTTATTTTCTTCTTTATAAATACTTAAAGAAGTTTATTCAAATAGAGTCTTATTCTGTTCTCAAAAATCAAAGCCAGTGCAAAAAAGAACATATCATAATAGGTTTTATTGAAATTTATAACAGCTTCATGGTGCTTTCTACATATAGTCATCAAGATATTATGACAATTAGTAAATGCTAATTAAAGTTACCTGGAGGAGAAAGCTCTTGGTTTCTTCATATTTAGCTCTTAAACACTCTCCAAATGGCCACAGCTCTCCTGATACCAGGAGCTTGTCATAAAGGGCTGCAATCCCTGGATCTCCCTTGGCAAACACCATTTCAACCAAGTCAAGGGTGACCCTGAAGAAAGGCCATTGATTGTACATATCCTGAAGCACTTGGAGATTCTTTGGATCCTTCTCAACTACATGCTTAAATGCCTCCCCAAAGCCAAGCCACACTGGCAAATGGAACCTTGTTTGTGTCCATGCAAAAATCCAAGGAATAGCACGTAGTGACTCAATTCCTCCACTTGGCTTTCGCTTTGATGGACGACTGCCAATGTTCATTCTTCCATACTCCAACTCAGGAGTTGCCTGCAGTGCATAATATTCATAAATACAAAAAGAGCCTATACCATGAATGTTATAAAGAACACTGAATTCACACTGTCATCCAATCATACATTAACATATATGATAAGGTTGTTGAATTTTGTCATAACTAGTTTAAAAGTCGTGCATAAGATGATTTCTTATTGATTGATAGAGTAAAAATCATTTAACTCAACTATTAATCAAATTGTGACTAACTTAACCAGATTATTACTTGTTTGAAAAACAAACCATTTAAACTGCTACATTTTTTCAAAGGGTATCTTCTAAACAAAGGTTAACAACAAAAGACTGAGTACAAGAAACACTTACACATCTGAAATACTCAACAAAACGAGGTTCTTTGAAAACAACAGAGCGATACTCCTTAGTTGCAATGGCAGCCATCTGATCCATGAGGGCACGCCATTCCGGTTTTGGCGATACAGGAGGATGCATGCCATGCTCAAGTGTAGCAGCAGTGAACCGCTGAAGTGTCCTAAAGCACAAGTGCTCCTCTCCAAAAGACTGTTCAATGACTTCTCCCTGAACCGTTACTCTAAGTGAGCCATGAATGGTGTCTGGTGGCTGAGACAATATAGCAAGATGAGTTGGTCCTCCTCCTCTTCCAACAGTGCCTCCTCTTCCATGGAACATTGTGAGCTTCACACCATACTCCTTAGCAACCTTCACAAGCTCTTCTTGAGCCTTATAAAGCGCCCAAGCTGCTGAGAGACGACCTGCATCTTTTCCTGAGTCCGAGTACCCTATCATAACCTCTTGCTTCCCATTGATGCGGTCCCTATACCAATCTATGGAGAAAAGCCGCGCCACCGCTGCCGGCGCAGCCTCAAGATCAGCAAGCTTTTCAAACAGTGGCACCACCCTCAGTGGCTGCTTCACACGGCATTCGCGTTGTAAGAGCTCAACTGCAAGCACATCAGATGGTGCTGTGGCCATTGATATGATGTAGGCACCAAAGTTGTCTGGGGGAAGCTCTGAGATCACATGGAAAGTTTCCAAAACATCATTAATTTCTTCTGTTTTGGGAAGGTCATGGCCAAAGAGAGGGCGCTTTCCTCTGAGTTCTGATAAGAGCCACTCTTGCCTCTTTTCCTCAGACCATTCTCTGTATGATCCAATATCCAAGTGTTTTGTGATTGCATCCATGACATCAGTGTGCCTATCTGACTCTTGACGGATGTCAAGCCTCACAAGTGAGAGTCCAAATGTGGAAACTTGCCTCAGGAAATCAAGGAGGCTTCCATCTGCTATTGGTCGGTCACCACATGCGCAGAGTGACCTATAACACAGTTCAAGAGGCTCCAGGAACTGCAAGAGAAAGTTTGGAGGTTGTAGAGTTTTAGTGTGTTAAAATTTGCATGAGAAATTAATCATCTGTCTGCAAGTTCCAACTTGAACAACTATTTACCATAATGATTAGCAATATAATGATATATTCTCTAATTAGTTTGATAACCATCCTCTTTTCATAATTTAGTTGAAAGGAAATCTATCAATTAACTCAATAATAAACTAAAACCATATTCAAACAACTAAACCTAATGTATAGGTTAGAGTTCTGTTAGGATCCAATTGCAAAGCATGAGACTAGTCTCGTGTCAGAAGTATGGGATTCTAGTGTGGAGTTTATAAGATCCCATAATAAAAAAGGCAGAAGCAAAATGCTCTAAATATAGCACTGTTGCTAATATAAGCATTCAGGAATTAAGTCTATAGCTACAAGTATTAATGCTCCTATATTCCCATTTGATATAAAACCAAAAATTAGAGCATACTATAAATAAGAAAGCAATTAAGCATGTCAATTTAAGGCAATTTTCTTTTAAGAGTAAGGTTTCCATTAACCTTGTGTTACAACACTTTATAGGACTGTGGTAAGGATAATACCTGCTCAACATTAGTGAAGGTTGTCTCCTCAGGGATATCAGACGTTCCATTGGCTAATAACTGGCGAGCACGTTCACGTGTGTTATACAGTTTGTCTCTGACATCACCAAGAATAACACGATATGGCTCGTTTGGAGGAATCTGTTTCCAAAACTCTGCAGCAATTAAGAATTCATTACAAGGACATTCAAGACCAATTGAAATTTACTCATCAAATTCAACGCTAAACATATCGAAATGTATGAATAATAATGAATAGTTCAGCAGTGCTGATCTGTGATTCTGTTTAGCATTATATATTCCGATAAAGAATTCACATGCAAAAGTGCAGTTCAAAACAAAATCATACATACCAATATAATGTTTAGCATCTCTCTTTAAGGACCTATGGAGTTCATGAGCACGAACACGGAGCTCGTCATTGCAACGCCACATAGACAACTGCAAAAGCAAACAAAAGTGATAAGTTAAGAGACATGTCCTAAATTCTTAATGAAAATAAATAATCAAGACATTGATAAGCATATTTGATACCTCAAACATGAGATCCTCTATCTGAGAGAAGTACAAATTAGCAGCCATCATTCTAGCCAGCAAGCACACATCCCTTGTAACTTCAGGGGTTACTCTGGGATTGCCTATAATGAAAATTAGGAATTTGTTAGACAGAAAATAATAATTATATTAAATGCCACATCCCTAAGGCAATGTCCAAGACTGAAGGTGAAAGTCAAAAGTAGATAGTGAAA